GTGACTTGTCAACTGATAGATATTTTGGACAGTCCATGAAAAAGTGTAGTTCATTCTTTACTTCCTGAAATAAGCATTGACCATAACTTCAGTAAAACTTATTTTCTCTAGGAATAGTTCATGTGCTTAATGTAATTGATAAATGTGTCCATGATCAAAATAAATCCTAATTTTAATAATTTGGTAAACAGTTACATGCAACAGTTGGTTTACATGGCTTCTGTTGCAGATACATTTCAAAAAGAGTGAATATAGTACATAAGTTTTCCTAAAAATTGTAGTTTGTTTTAAATTTAGATTATGCTCTCACTTTTTAGCTCTTCTGTCGACTTTGTCGAGCGGGGCTTATCATATGAGTGAATGTCCATCGTACGCGTCAACTTTTTTACTTTTTCGTATTCTTCTTTGAAACTATAAGCCTGTATGTTTTGATACTTGGTGTATATGTACCTTGGGTAGACCTCTCTTAGATTTGTTCATTTCATGATGATATCTTCAATTCTCTAATTTTGGTGAATATTTTTCATAATTTTTGGTAAAAAGTGTTATTTTCGAATACTGTTGAAAACAGCAAGTCCGATTGCTTTGATACTATACATATTGTTCATTTTCTAATGATATCTTCAGTTCTTTATTAAATTGAATTGTTCCTTGCTAACAGCAGAGCTATCTCATTTGACAGGCTGCTTGTTTTAGTTCGAAAACAAGGACTTATGGATTGACCTCCTTGGGTCTGTGCATCCGTGTGTACGTGCATGCATTCGGACCTGTATCTTAGACATGTCTGGACCAATTACATTCAAAATACATAAAACATATGCACATCAATTTTGTTTCACGATCTGATTCAAGATGGCCTAATGGCAGCCATTTTTGTACTAAAAAATCATCAAAATCAAGCATTTCTCGGCTGTTTACAGATGGATTTTGTTCAAACTTGGTATATACATTGGACATTATAAGACCTTGACTGGTGGCCATCTCTGACTTGCTTTGACAAATTATGTTCAAATTTTAAATATTCATTATATATGTCATAGATATACAGGTATATTGGTTTGGTGATCCTATTAAAAATGGCCGAAATATATATCAAGCATTTCTGACATTTATGGATGGATTTTGTTCAAACTTGGTACATACATTAGACATTATGGGTTCTTGATGCACGTCATTATATTTTTCAGATCGGATTCAAAATGGCTGACTGGCGACCATTTAGTTTTAATGAATGGGCTTCTAGAGCCATATCTCTGACATGCTTTGACTGATTATGTTCAAATTTTATATATTCATTATACATCATTCAAAATGGCTGATTTTGTTTTAATTAATGCTGTTCCAGAGCAATATCTCTCAATATGGACAATCGTTGGATGACCAGATACAAATATTAATCATTTAAAGGTTAAACAATCATCATAATCATATTCCTGACATGGTTATATTCCAGCTATGTTACTATGAACAAAACTATATATCTTAAATTCCATAACTAACGGGGAGTGTGACATGCATGGCTTGTTTTTTTTAATTTGGCATCATTTTGTCTTTTAGAACCAGGTGAAGATGCTACTACAGACCGTGATATTCAAGAACTCTTAGAAGATGAAGATGACATGATGGCACATCACAAAATGTCATCAAGAGTGATGAAACTGAACCTAAGGTCAGTTCACCGACCTCATCAGGTTGCCAAATATGACCAAGACTCAGAAGCAACACGTGGACTTATACTTGATCTTTCCCCTGTGGTCTCGGATATTTCTCCCCCAAAGGGTGTGAATGAACTATCACCAAGTGTGATGAGTGTGTCTTCTCGTGTTCCAATGTTAGATCCAGATACATCAGCCAGACAGCCAGCAGTTGGTGAGGAGGAGTCTGAACACTCCATGAAAATGCCATCTTTAGGAATGGAAACTTTCTATATTGATGACCAAATTGAGGATATCGCCATGGAATATGACATGGGAATGGGATCTACTGGCATAGATCATGATGACCTTTAACATTTTAACCTGCTATTTGCCAATATTAACTTAAATGTAGTTCCAGCATTTTTTTATTCCTTTCACTCACCCACACTCAACTACATCCAAGAACTTCTGCATTAGTCATTTGGTGCAACCTCACCCTTAAGACATAAGGGGCATTTGATTAATGACATTCAAACTGACGCACAAGAAACGTAAGTCATTCATTTTGGGTAAAAGGGGGGTAGTAGAGCAATTGACTAGTGAATTATAAAAGATGTAACATCAGTAACAATAGAAATTGACATAATTTATTTAATGCTGTTAATTCCGGCATATATATGACTAGAATTACAAGAAAATCAACTGACTGACAATAAATTTACATTTCACATTGCTTCCTTAATGTGGCAACAGGGGAAAAATTAGTAAAAATTGTTCTGTGATTCAGACATTCTCTAAAAGTTACTAAGCATGCTACTTTAACAACATATATATGCATTTGAAAACTTATGCCATACCAATGTTTTTCTGATGGCCAATTAAGCTATTTTTTTTCTTGATGACCCGTAAAATCTGTAAGCCGCATCCCTAATAGAAGTCGCACCTATTCTTTTTGAATAATTGAGAACCAAAAGTTCTTCATTTCTCATATGTGTAGATGCTCTAATAGAAGCCGCAGCTTCTAATACAGATTTTACAGTACTCTGATTATTAAAAACACTGATTTTTAACATTCTCAGTCATATGAATGACATGTGAATTGCACAGGACAGTTTGTGTTACCCTAAGCTAGATGATCACATCTCAGTTTCGTTTTATCTGCTTTTCTTTTCAAGATATGACAAAACAACTACAGACATGCCACCAACAATCAGTTGTCAGTAGCATGTCTATACTCATTTGGTTGTAACTAAAGGGCAGATAAACCGAGATGTGATCATCTAGTCTACAGCATTTCATACTTCCTGTGCAATTCACACGTCATTAGATAGAAAAAAATAGCTTGACTGAGAAATTGGCTGTCATAATTCTTTAGACAAATATTGGTGTAGCATATGCACTATTTTATTCCTATCTTATATCTAAGTTTTCAGATGATCTACAGGGTATAGTAGCATGCTTAGTAATTTTTTGAGAATGTTTGATTCACAGATCAATTATTACCTCAAGGGGCACATTGTTTACATATATAGAGCTAAATATTTGCTTAGTTTTATTTTCACTAAATGAGCTAAATTAAAATTTAACAATAGAGTATATTGTTTCCTCCACAAACCTGTGATTATCTGTGCAACCTCAAATCTGCTGAAATTAAACCCAGCGTCTGTTTTAATCTCTGCTCTATCCTCGGGGTAGAGTTACGTCACAAGACGTTTCACATTGCTAAGATGCACACCACTGTACCATGTATTTCTAATGGTTCTGCATGAGCTGCTGTGGAACGCCAGTCAAAGAACCGATGAAAATAGCTGAATTTGAGAAAACAACACAAACTAAACTTTGAGGTATTCTGAGCAACCAAATTTATATATGTCGCTCACATAGGGGTAATCTTAACAACTTTCCCAAAGTACCGTTTTCTGATAGTTTTCGGCATTTGTTTTCACTGTGATGGTCACCATGGAGTAAAGATGTCCGACCCCGTGAATATGATTATCATAAATATTTAAAGGGAACAAAACACAAATTAATGTCACATAAAGCAATTCCAGTAATTGAAAAACATTAATCATGATGACCCTAAGCCCATTTCTTTACACTATGTATGGAAAGTATTTAGATATCTGAAAATTACAAAGAATAGAGTACATATTGAATATTGCTTGCTATAATTTTAAGCAATGAACTGTTTATTATTTTATCAACTTTATTTTGTCAAGATTGTTTATAAGTTTAACCTGGAGGTAATATTCACCAGAACAATGACAATAGATTGATACTTATATACACTGTAAGCAATGACAGACAATAGGGGGTATATACTCAAATACACAAAAGTTGCCTTTGACTGCATGAGGTTGACACTAATTGCCATTAAATTATATTACCATTATTCTGGTAATATTACCTAGAGTGAGAACCATATAACCCAGAAAGCTGTCTATAAACATGGACTTTATTTGTATGTTCAGTTTGTTACACATTTATTGACATCAGTCGTTAAATATTTCCTATTTATTTTTATTTAAAACATGGATTGTTCTGCTACACCTTCTTAGTATATTATTATCACACACAAAAAAAGTATTTAAGTCTGTATTTTTATCATTGTGCAATTTAATTTTGAATTAGGTATTTAAAGCTTATTTGTTTATGTATGTATTTAATATTTATATAAATATAGATTTATTATTATATTGTTACACAGGGTAAACACTTGTATTCCTGGTATTTTATAAATTTATTGGCAGTGAGTTTGCAACAAAATACTATTCAAAATACTACATATGTTGGGAATTTACTACCATCCATATTTGAGTGCTTTGTAATATTTGTAGGATTTTCCCTAGAGGCTGCCTAGATTTTTTTTAAATATTTCTGTAAAAATGTTTTAATATTATTTTTTTGATGATGATATTTTACTCTTTATTCTTCCTGCAAAAACTACTATGTTATTTCATTGTGCCTGTCTATGTTGATCACTGACAGAAATCTTAAATGTGCTCCAAAGTTTGTATCACTTATTCCTTTGTAAGTCTGATGTACAAATGAAGATTATAATGGATTGTATTATGAATTGTATTTCATTATTAATTATTATCAGTACTGTATATCATATTTATATATCCAGCTTTCATACATTACTATGTGCAACGTATTTCTGTATATATTGTAATTTATACACATGTTCTTTTCATCTTTGCTTGCAATGCAATGCCACTTTATAAGCAGATAACTGAGAGGTAAATGTTTTTACTGATACTGTATTATTTTCAATATCTAGAAACTATCCAGTCATGCTAGCTTATCATGTCATGCTATCTATGATACAGTGGGGCAGCACAGGGGTGGGGGTGGGGGGTCGCTCTTCTAAAATCAAGCTGAAACCCTGTGTGTCAGCAAAATTTACCCCTCAGAATGCAAGAAATAGCATTTCAGAGGGTCTAGATTTCATAATTTTTAAGAGGATGCATGCCCCCAGACCCCCTAGTAAGGTCACGCCGAAGTTTGGTGAGCAGAACCCCCCCCCCATACAAAATTTGTTTCCGCCACCTCTGTGATGAGGTTATCACCTGGTATCACTTGTTGATAGAATTGATTACATCCCATGA